CTCGCACCCAGGTTATCAGCACTCCGTTTCCAAGGCTCTGCTGGCATTGATAGGAGGCTCTGCTGACACTGATAGGAGGCTTATCTCTACTTAAATTCAAATGTATTTTAATTAATATTTTTGTTATTCTTGTCCCCTTTTATTACCTTTATCGGGTAAAAGTGCTTGTGAAGTGAAATAGAAAGCATCTACTTTCAGTACAGAAAATGCAAAATAGTTACCACTCTGCTAAAATAAATCAAAGCAATGAGTAAACTAACTCAGCTGATGGTGCTTAAAAAATGATAGCTGTGTATGAGGAAGTAGATATTTAAAGGAAAGAGAAGTCTTAGCTGGAAGATGATTCATCCAAATAGAAGTATTAGCGAATAGTTTTGTCACTTATAAATGCCCTGGTTTTTGACCGTCATAGTCTAGCTTATAAATTCATAATACAAGTCCAGATCTAGAGGGGTGGTGCTGTTTTGCTTCTGCTGAATGCTAGTTAGCGAGTCTCCCCAGACTTCGTTCTGTAGTGTCCTAGAGCAGGACAGTCCCTGATGGGAGGAGAAGGAGCTAGAGACAAGTGAAAGAGGATACTTCACCAGAATAGTTTTTCTTATTACTTCCTAGCATAGATCTCTGAAAAAGCCTACTTTCCATTCATTCAGAAAACCTTTAAGCATTTAGTAATTTATTTTTTTTTTTTTTAAATTAAGTTCTTACAGTCTCTAACAAATGCCTCTTTTTGCTGTGGTTTTGAACTCTTGCCTGGGGTGTGTTCTTTGCTTAGTAGGTGTAGTCAAACTGTCCTTAATGAAAACCTTTTCTAAAGATTATAATTAATCAGTACACTTATCTTTATAGCATATACGTATATAATTAACTTATTGTCTGCTTTCAATCCATTCTTCAGCCATACTTTGATTCAGTCAGTCATACTTTGATGTGAATACCAGACTGTATAATTGAAATGTTGCTTAGTTTTGGCACTAACATACTGAGATATGAAAGAGTGGGAAATGTTAATTACGAAGCTGTTTATATAAACTGTTTCTCTGGGGGAAAAATTGAGATCTTCACCTCATACTAAAATCCTTACGCATGATAGTTGACCAGCTTCTTCTATAGGTACTAGATTTAAAAAAAAATAAATTTGTCTTTTAATGCTGTACTCTGAACAGTACAGTAATTGCAGGAGTGGGGGTTTTTTTGTGTGTGTTTTGGCTTTCTTGAACCCTATGGCATGCAGGGTTCTGAGGAAGACTTCACATGATCTGACTGCCAGTGGTCCCCAAAAAATGCTTCACAAATCCTTATGTTACCAGCTCCTAAGCAAGCCTCTCCAGCTAAATGGAAATACACGTTGTAGCTCATTGTATAACCTGTAGCACCTGTATTGTCTCTATCTTGAACAGTAGATACTCAGGGTTTTTTAGGGCTATTACCTCATAGGAACGGGATATCTTCAGTGTCAGTCAGGTGCTACGTCAATGCTGCTAGTATAAGGCAGGTGACATTAAAAGTGGAGTGGAGAGTTAGGTGTGAAACTCCAGACAGTGTTATAGCAAAGGTCCAAGGAACTGATGAACCAAAAAGAATCGAGGGAGGAGAAACCATGTGTTTCCATCTCTAGTTTGCTAATTCATAGAGTCGTGCAATTTGAACTAATTCAGGTCTTGAATGGAGATACAGAAAAGAGAAGTCAATTGGAGGTGAAAAGGAAGTTAAGGAGTTTGATAAACTGCAACTCTGATTGTGGTTTAAAAAGGTGATGTTGGGGATGCTTAATTTGGCTCAAGCTGCCCACAGCAGTCTGATGTCATTCTCTCAGCTATGCCAGCATAGTTGTCTGTGTGACTGCATGAAGAACCAGAACTGGCCCTGATCTAGCTGGTGAAAACACTTGTTGCAGGGTTTTTTTCCCTGGGATTTTTAATGCATTGGATTTCCAGACCATCTCTCACTACACAGTTGCCTGAACTGTCACAGAGGAAGGGTGATGCAAAGGTGAGAATAAGCTGAAAAACAGAAAGCATTTAAACTGGAATGACTGCTGAACAAATTAGTGTGAAATTATATCCTCTGTCTGTCAGAGTGCACCATGGAGTGCACCATCTGTGCTTTCTTTAGAAAAAGAAAGATGTTAGGCTTTCCTTAAAAACTCAGAATGAACAGACCATTCAGCCTTGTCTCTTGCTTGGCTCGTACCCGTCTCTGAAGATAAAGTGATCCTGTAGAAGGTCAGACTTTTTTTCCAGGCACTATCTGTGAGTATTTCTCTTGGGGCTTGATGTTTCTGAAGTATTTTGAAGTGTTCAAAAGCCTCTGAGAGAGTTTTTTATTAGCTAGCTCCTGCTTATTTATTTATTATACTGTCTGTCTCACTATCCAGACAGTTGTATTTTAGCAATGAGGTGGTGGTCTGGGCTTCCTGTAATAACTTGATTACATAAGATAAAACATATTTTTCCACCTGGTATGTACCTTTAACTTGTCAGTGTCCGTTAGCATGGTGGTTATTAAGAAGAGTCTGCTTGCAGAGAGGAGTTTGTCAAAGAACAGGCCAAATGACTTGGTCACTGAACTTGTCTTTCTTGAAAGCCTTTGATATACTCAAGTTGCATTTCCTAATGGCAAAAATGTGTAAGAAATACTAGAACAACCATATCAATTGTTAGCAGGGGATTGTATTTGGCTCTCTTGCATGTATGGCTATGAAAGAAGCACATAACTTACTGGAGTAGGTTAGCCAGATTACACTAGCTTGGCTTGCTGATGGTTGCGTTCTGCAGAATTTACAGATTTTCTGACAGACAGTGTTCTAGAATGTTTGAGACTGAGAACAGGTTTTCTGATAGCTAGGCTGGTTTGAATAGCCAGCACAAGTGAAGCTAGATGGTTGGTTTCCAGTGGTGCTAGCAAAAGAAAGAGTTGGGGGAACACTGGGAGAAGGGGTTGTAGAGTGGCAGTCCAAACTCAACTATTGCAGCATGATAGTACCTTGTTCAAAAAGACTGCTAAGTACTCTTAAAGATTAAACGAGTGGAAGTTTTCAGTTTTCATTTCTACTGTATTTTCAGTACAAAATAGTTCCAGTCGGTAAATGACTGGAATGGTAAATGACCATTTCTTTCTATTTTTTTGTTCTTTGTTATTAATTTTTAGGTCAATGTGTTTCATACAAAGAAAGCAGATCTGAGGGAAGAGAGTATATTAGATATGGCAAGCAATAGTGGTATATAGTACCTTTAAGCAGCAACACAGCTGCTGCTGGATTGTATCTGCTTCTAAAAGTCCATGAAAGGCTGCAGCGTGGTGCAAACAGCAAACAGCCCGGCTGCTTGGGAGCTGCGGTCATGGCTTACTGGGTATAAAAGCCTACCTACCACCTGTCACGCAGGGGAGATGACAGAGGAGGACGTGTGACTTCGGAAGTTTTAAAGCAGAAAAGTTTTCCAGATGAGCAATATGACAGATGTTTATACTTACTGATAACTTAATTCTTAATTATCATTGCAGTTAAATCTTTTGCATTAAAAAGAATATATATCTGTGGGTATGACTTGGAGATACTCCAAGCAAAAATAGTACATCCACAGCAACACCGTGTACTTAGGTATGAGGACCTAATTCTTGCTGAGAAGAATAAATAAGGAAGATACAACCTCTGTAGTACACTTCCTGCTGTTATCTTCTAGAATTAAGTTCTTGCATTACTTTTTAACTGTAGGGTATGGTAGCTAGTATACACTTCTATAATTCTCAGGATTCGTTGTCTTTAAGACTGCAGTGTGATCACTGTGCTGTTTTGAGTAAATGAACCTTTTTGTGTAGCCTTTAAACAGGGCACTCGTTCACCGAGTCTGAGGCAGATTGCCTGTCCTTGATGTCTCAATATATCACACATGGTCTCTTCATGTTTTTGGATGACTTTCACAAGTTCAAACGGTGAACAACTTTTACATTTTGATATTTGAGATGGGGGAGATCTCATTACAACTCCATCACTCTAACTACTTTGGTGGAATATCAGCAAGACATTACTGTTTTGCTTTGGGACTTTTTCAGAACTGGATAAATTTTTATTGTTTTTAATTCTGTTTGCTTATAAATTCCGTACTTGTAAGTGTAGCTATTGTCTAAATAATTTCTTGATTTACTACCCATTTTTACAGAAACAATGCATTCATGTTTTACTGTATTCCATTCCACACTTCTTCATCCTTCGCTTCTGTTAATTCTTTTAAAATAATTTTGTGCTGTAAAAACATTTGCAAGGAAAGTGGAAAAACCTCTTTGTTTTTAGAAGACAGATCTAGCATATACAATTATTTGAAAGATGTCTAATTCAGAATTGCCTATCAGTAAAAGTTGGAGATGAATTTGCATGTCCTTCTCTTCTGCGTTTCTTGTGCTTAGCAGAATGCACAGTTTGTACATTTGCTTTATGCCTCTATTCCTTTGGACACAATACTTACCTGTTGACAAAGGAGGGTCTTTGTTCCAAGTTGGTGAGCTAAGCTACGAGTAAATTTTGGTGCAACCTGTAGAAAAATACTTTATCTTCCTTCTCTTAATATGGTGATAAGCTTCTGATGTTTTTTTTCTCCTGTTTTTTTTTTGTTTTCTTTTCATTTTCAGTGTTCTATTTAGGTGAGTGTTTTACTTTTTGAGACTTTTTTCTTCCTCTCAAGAGTACTTGTTCATTGTTTTAAGAAAATTTTAAACTTGGAGTGCTTCTCAAGGCTTTTGTTAAGTCCCATCATATATAAAATTTATTTTGCATTTCTGTGAAACATTTTCATCCATGTGAAATAAATCCATTCTGCAAATATGTACGGTAACATTTGTTGCAGTTTTTATTTGCTGTATTAATGTTGTTGAGCTTGTTTGGCTTAAAAAGCAGAAGTAAACAGTTCCTATAATGTCATGTGATGGCTGGCCTTTTTCCTTGATCTTCTGATTTTTTGCAAAGTAAAAGTTCAAATCATTAATTTATGGTCTGTCTTCACTTTTAGGTCCTACATTGCCTCGACAGAATTCACAGCTTCCCTCTCAAGTACAAAATGGTCCTTCACAAGAAGAATTGGAAATCCAGAGAAGGTATGGTATTATAAGTGAACAGCTGTTCAATTAAGGAATGTAGTAACTCTCACTAATGGTGAGAAATCAAAGTCAAGGACTTATAATTACTTTCTTGCATTAGGGCAGCGTTTGTATGCTTGCAGTTTTCAGTAGTGCAGCTTTCTGGTGTAAAAACTTTGATTGTAGCTAGAGCCATTCTTCATGATCTCTACCCATTCAAACAATGCAATCGGTATTGGCCTGTCATGGAAGCACTGCAGATCTTATGGGAAGCCTCAGAAGACTTCACTGCTGTCGTTTTCAACCAGACTAATTAATTTTGCAGTGACTGTTGTGTCTTCAGTTTTTGACACACAGGTATAAAGAAGCAGCAAGCAAGGAAGGAAGTTTTAACCTTTTAGAAGCAGAGAATTAAATCGTCATGGAGAATGACAGTTTTTCTTCCTGAATGTGGATGAACTAGACTGCACTAGAACAAAATATTCTACTGCAAAGCTTGTTCACCTTTATACTATATTAGTTCTTTAGCAAATAAACCTTCATTTTCTGCTTTTGCCGTATGCATTTATGGAACTTTTAGTAGTTTAACTTTCAGCTGTAGCAGTACTAGTTGTATCTGTGCTACCCTCAGGGAGCAGTCCCTGTTCCCCATACCAGTCATCACTCCTCCAAGCTAAGCTGTTCCCTTCAATGAGAAGACACTGTACCCTGTCCTATGCCCTGTGGGGTATTTTTCAGACCTGTAGCACTTCTAACATACGGGGGTTTTTTCAGTTCCTTTTAATAGTTGCTAAGTATCAAATCATGTGCCCAAGTTCTGGGAACAAACTTTCTAGTTGCCATATTCCTGCTTTTACTTGCATGGCAATATGGGTTAGTGCTGTAGGTTGAGCCTCTGGGATATGGGCATATGAAATGACAAAATCTTCTAGCATAGTACTATCAGACTGGCTTAAATGAAAACAGCAAGACCTTGGGCTGTCTCAAGCATACTGCCTGCGGTGCAATCCTGGATTATTTTACCATCAAAATACTCCCAGGAGATTAGCTGTTCCCTTACAGAAGGGATGCTGGGAGTGATTTAGGTCACATGCAGTACAGATACAGGGAACGGGATCCTTGAATAAATAGGAAGTGGTCCAGATTGATGGTGTAAATGCACTTAATAGCTTTCAGTAGTAACCGCAAAAGTATTTTAACATGTTGTATCTAATTGGCGCTGAAGATTTTTTTTTTATTTCGGTATTTTGCCTTTAGTTTGTTTATGCACAGATGAGCAGAACCAGATTGCTAATTTGGGAATAATTCATATTACAGATTTGATGAACTAGCTATATGTGTTGAACAAAGGTTTGACATCAAAATTGGTCATACTTCTCTGTCTCTTTTCTGCAGTATGTTCCTAAATCTGAGCAGGGATTGCTTTATCTGAAAGTCTCCTTGTTTAAAACCAAATAGCAAGAAGCTCATTACAAATCTGTCTGACGTGTTTACATGCAAGTCTGCTGTCATGATAAAGGTCTTTTATGTTACTTCTTTTGACAAACTTTTGAAAAGCTCTTTTCTTTTTATATTTTTTCTGTTCTACAGTAATGGCTTTTAATATTTTTATTTCCTGTCTGTTCCTTTAGAAGGCTGCATTAATTGAAATTTATAATGCTGAAATACTTTTCAGAGAAGCATTGTAGATAGACATCTCTTCAGAAAAAACTGCTGCCACATATTGCTCTGCAAGTCTCTCTTGAAATTTTTTGTTTGTAAAGGACATATTATCAGGTGTCATGGCTTCACTTTTTCATTTGATCAGCGTGCTCTACTTGTTTTCATCTAATATAATGTCTTCTTTCAAGTCTGATCCTGGTTTTGATTTGCTTTTTCCCTAAAAAGGGATAGAGAACTGGAATGAGTGTTTACTTATGTTGCTAGCCAGATTGTCTGGGGAAAAACTATTGGTGTTGTGTCATTAAGCCTAAGAACAACACGTAATTTTGTTAAAACATTTCACAAATTCTTCTCTGGTCTCTGCTGCTGTAACTATATGGTTATAATGCAGTTCAATTAACTCTAAGCTAAACTTTTCTTCTGTACTGACTATCTTTCAGCTTTCAGACTGTAATAATAGTAGTCTTACTACCATAACGTAGAGAGTAGTAAATAGTTGGGGGGAAAAAAAAGTTTAGGTATATATTATTTTTAACAGTTTTACAGATGACATTTAGTCTCAGTGAAGGGTAAAAGCAGTGTGGGCAGAATTGAATTCTGTGGGGAGCAGTAAGGCTACAGGAAATGCAAGAGAAGGGAATAAATATTGCTGTATAGGAAGGAATACGGGCTTTGTGATGGATCAGTAGAAGGGCAGGCTTTGCTAAGTTTTGTTCATGCAATGTGTGTCTGTGGGGTGGGGGTTTCGTTTAAGATGTGACTTGATAGTAGTTGTGCTCATCTCGTATCCCTCCCCTTAAGTATAGCTGATTCAGTAATGTTTGACCAACTCCCACGCTAAGGACGTTCAGAAAAATATTTTTGGAAATTATTCTAAGCCTGAGAAAAAGAAATCTGCGTACATAAAAATTAAAGTTGAAAAAGGGACCCTGTGGAGGTCATCTAGTTCAACCCTCTGCTCAAAGCAGAACTAATTTGAAAGTTAAATTGTGTGGCTTGTAGCTTCAGGGTTTTCCTAGGCACAAATAGAAACATTTCCTCAGAAATGTTTTGCCAAGGGAGTGACCGGTGAAGAATGGCATATTAAAGAGAGCTCTTCAACTGATCTGATGTTTTCCTTCACTTTTATAACCATTGTTCAAGAATCTCAGGGAAATTGGGAACTGAAGAATTAAATTAGATCATTGTCAACAAAAGTATGTTATTTTGGCTCAAAGATTTTTCTCTACTTTGGAAAAGATTTAGATGCCCTATGTTTTGAATAAAAGTCCTAAAGTAATAATATTACATTGGTTTTTTTGCTGCACAGCCTGTTACTTGAATGTTTGCATTGTTTACTGTGCAGTGATGGCAATCTGTAAAGCCATTAGGACCGGATGTGCATTCTAAAACACGGAGGTTTTTATGAGGCCAAGATTACGTACAAGGCGGTCAATGAAATAATTTCGTCTGGTGAAATAACTTTGTTACGTTCTTTTAAGAAACCATAACACATTGTGTATACTTTCCCTGTCAAAGTAGGGGGTACTTGAAGACAACTGTAATTTCCCGTAACTTGCACTCATTTAAGTACAGTAAAAACAAGCTTTAAAACACTCCCGCTTCCATTTTCAGTCCTCAAAAATTAAGGGATTTATTGTTATGTGGGTTATTTTTCATTTTGTCAGAGTGGTAGTCAGGCAGTGTTTATAAATTCCACTGATTGTTTGATAATGAGCCAACTTCAGTTGATATACATATTTGTTAATAACTTCAGAGTTACTTAATGTCAAATACCATTTTAAAATATAAGATTAGTTCATGACATGCCTGTGTGTGCTACTCGTGCATGTAAATTTACCTTCTCTTCCAGCCACGATAAATATATTGTCAGGAATATGAGTCACTGAGTTGGTATCTAGTATGACACTTGGGAATTTAATGAGTTAATGTTTATAAATAACTTCAAAATCATCACTGCTTCATAAATAAAGAGGCCAAGAACACCAGAAACAGAAAGTGTATCAATTGTAAGGAATAATGAAGGTATACAAGCCGCCTGTTGTCCTTCAGGGACGCAGTGGACCAAAACTTGACCGACTTCTGTCGTAAGTACTCAAAAATGTTAGAAGTTCCCATAAATGCAACAGCAGAGGGTTTTGTCATTGTTAAATACTTGAAGTTCACTTACAGTTTTAGTTTATTTCATGTATTGGCATGATACTGTTAAAGAAAACTCGGTGTATGACTGTGCTAGAAAGTAGTATTGATATGGTGTGGTTTTCATAACAGCTTTTGGGAGGCTTCTTACTTTTAGATAGTGCAAGTTCAGAGGCTGACAAGGATGGCAGTTTCTTATATACTGGTAGACTTAAAGGAGTGCTTTTTATTTTACAGAGTAAAAGTATTTTTTCCTGAGATTTTTGCTAATCTTAAAATTTAACTTCAATAAAAGAATTTATTTCCTCCCTCCACAAATTAGTAATTATTACATGTATAATAATTCCTGGGCTGTTTTGAAAACGTGGAAATACTAAAAGAAAAAAAACAAACACCTGCTTCCTACAATTCAGTAGCACTGTAGCTATAATAATTTAAAGGAAAAAAAGTTTGTCCGTCACCTTGTGTCCCTGGTAGCCTGGTTTCTACTGATTGCCCACAGCCTGTGACCTTTCCCTAGTTAGTAGCTAGATGTACTGTTTCCAGTTTTCCCAGCTTATTTTGAGGAAGTAGGATTTCTTTAGAGGCATATGAATTGGTTAGATTATAACGAAGCAAACAGTTCTAATCTGTCATAGGCATATGAATATAATATAGTAGTTGGCTTTTTAGTTTAGGATATAAGAGTAGTCAGTAGAATAGTGTCATACAACTGTATTGTGTGCTGTGCATTTTACAAAACCTGCATGAAGTTTACATCCCAGAGATGTAGTTTAGATGGAATCAAAGGTTGTTTTTTAATGCCTAAGCTAAGGTTTTCCAACAGGTCAAAGTGACATCAGTGTAAAGTTTTCAAGTTGAGCTTGCTGAGGTAGTTTCATGACACAGCCTGCGGCCATTTGGATCTTTCTAGCCTCTCATTCCATAGTAGGATGGGAAACAAAAGGAGCCAAGCAAAAAGACCCATCAGTGTTGTTTATCTCATCGTAAAGACTTCATGTTTTTTCTTGCCCTCAACGTTTTTTTTGGGGGTTGTTTTGTTTTGCCTCTTTTTTAATGCCTCTCACTTTCTTCCCATTCACAGTTTCTTCTCATTCTTAGTTAAGTTTTCCTTAATTCTGTCAAGTCTAGCTTTCAGAGACTTAATAATGGGCTTTATGAAGAGGTAATGGGTGCTGACTCGTTACAATACTGAATAGCTATAGATGTTGGGTAAC